GATGTGGGGCCCAAACCCATGAACTGGCAGATCATGACCTGAGCCAAAGTCGGACACTAAACCAACTGAGCCACCCAGGCACCCCTAAAAGTTTATTTACTACCATTAAGAAAATGAGCTCCAAGAAGAAACTGAGTTCATAGGCATTCATTTACTAAAGGAGAGAACTTACAAACTCTGTGTCAGGGCACTAATGTCTAGGTCAGCAATAATCAGTGGGAAAAAAGGTTTTCTTGTCAAAAATGCTTAGAGCTTAAATGAGGTTGAGGGGTCTTTTTACTATATTCATTGATCTGAAAGATCTACTCATTATATTCATTCTCCTCACTTTATCTTTTGAAAAGATAAAGAATGAAATATGCAATTTCATATCTTTTGTTTTTTTGACTCTGTAAAAGTTTATTTATAAAAAAAATGGAGAGGCCTTCTCTAGATTTATTAAAAAAAAAGAAAATCTAGACGCCTATTAAGACAGCAATAACAAGAAAAATAACTTATCATGTGCCAGGCACTATTCTAAATGCTTTGCCTGTGTTTTCATTTAACCTTTATCTAAATAGGTACTGCTATTTGTATTTTACATCTAAAATAACTGAGGCACAGAGGTTAAGCAATTAATCCAAATCAATTACTAAATATTCTATACTGGCTTGGGCTAAGTACACTTCTTTAATAATGATTTCCATATTTTGTTATATTTTTATTCTATTAAATAAAAGTGGAAAATGTAACCATTAAATAGCTTGATCACTAAGTAAAAACTAGAATGACAAACTTAGAAACTCAGGAGGTATTCAACACATTTTTAAATTCAAGATTTATTTAATAGGTACTGTCAAACCAAGAGGTTTCACCCTTTTGTTTATTTAATTCTTGCAATCACTCTGTGAGATGCTCATTTATCCTCATTTTTACAGAAGTGGTAACTGAAGCCCAATGAACAGTTTGAACAGTTACAATGTTATCAAATCTAACTCCAGTCCAATGTTCTTTCCTCTGTGTTATTAAACCTGTTTAAAACAAATAATAGAATAACAATTTTATAATTCACAAAAATGCCCTCAGCTTTCTTGTGTACTCACACCATATCCTTAAACATGTCTTTCCCATTAAAAAAAAAATTCAAGTTCACAATGATGATTTTCCCAGCATCTGTTTCAGACTTGGATTTTAAAACCGACTTAGTTATAAATGATGCTCATCAGAAAGGAAAGGTACTCAAAAAGTTCTTAACTTGTATATTAACCACTGTCAACTACAAAGCAACCCGTAGTATAAGACTGAAGAAAGGACTGACGTAATAATACAATATAATATACTCAACTTCCCCAGAAAAAGTGAAAAAAGTGGAAGTCATAAAATTACAAAGGACTGTAGTTGCCATTTTGGTGACATATATGCTAAACAACCCCTTATTAGATGGTGAGGTCTATGAAGACAAGAGTTATAGGTGTTTATCACTTTTACTTCCATCTTCCAATCCAATATTTTTCACGGAAATAGTTTTTTATAAAACTAGGTAGAAGGAATAAGTGAAGGAGATCAAATTATCAATTTCAGAAGACGTTTTTATCTTTTTTAGACTCTGAAATGTAAGAATAGATTTGTGTCCTCAAAGAACAATGTCCAGGGCCAATAAATCAGACTCTGGAAGGTCCGTGGTTTATAAAAGAACCATCCTTTTTTCAACAAGGGGTAAGGGGGAATGTTATATCTTTCTTTGTTTGCCAACTTCAATATGCATAATAATATTATTTTCTTTTTTAAAATATAGAATGCCAGAGACCTCATCCAAATACATGCTGTCAAAAACATAGAAAGCACAAGGCTCTTCACTACATTATTTCTTAATAGCAAAAACAAAAACAAACAACTGAAAACAATACATCACTAGTAGGTTACCAGCTTAATAAATCAGAACATAGCCATATAATACACTAATGTGCAGCTATAAAAAAGGAAGGTGAAATACCCATATTAATACAGAGCGATTTCCAGAATCTCTCTCTCTCTCTATATATATATACGTGTGTGTATATATATATTAATGTTTATTTATTATCGAGAAACAGAGAGAGACAGAGCATGAGCATGGGAGGGGCAGACACAGAATCTGAAGCAGACTCCAGGCTCTGAGCTGTCAGCACAGAGCCCAACACGGGGCTCGAACTCACAAGCCATGAGATCATGACCTGAGCCGAAGTCAGTCACTTAACTGACTAAGCCATCCCGGCGCCCCAACCCAGAATATATTTTTAATTTAAAAAGTATGACAGAAGAAAATGTACATATTATATAATCATTTACATAAAAAGGAGGTGGGGGAATAAAATAATTATATACATTTGCTTATTTATTAACCTATGGTAGGACCATAAAAATTTTAAATATTTAACTCTGGGGGAAAGAAAGAACAGGGTAGAAGAAACAGGGATAAAAGCTAAACTTATTTGACTATATATATCTTGTTTTGTAGATTTTACTTTGTAACTATGTAAATATTTTATATCAATTTTGACATAAAATTTAAAGTAACATTAATTTAAAATTTTTTAAATGCCATCTATAATAAAACTAAAATGAAATAAAGCTTAGTGAGATATAATCACATAGAGAGGAATTATTCAATGTTTCTTTAAAAAAGAAATTTAACTGTTTATACCTAATGAAATATACCATGGGAATAAAAAGAACTGCAAAGAGATCTTAAATTATTTTCAGTTGGTGATGGTAGTGTCAGTATTATTATTACAAGAATATTGTATGTAGAGTATAGGACAGAACAAGTAATTATACTATCACTGAAACTGGAATTTTTAATGTAAGAGAAAGGAAATACAAATGTAGATTGTTGCATCCCCCAATATTTAGTTAGAAATGTCAATATATATTCATTTTGAGGCTAAAAAAAAAAGATACCCCATGCTATCTTTGAAAAAATTACCCACATATTTTCTAGCTCTATCCACTAAAAACCCTAGAAAGAGTAACCAACCCTGTAGCAATTAGCACTCCTAACATCCAGACAATGGTCTCAAACACCATTTCTCACTAAAAGAATCAGGTCTCCTTGAAGGAAAGGCTGAGTCCAAGTCTGGGGAAGAAATGTTTAAGATGAATCTAGAACACTATCATGACAGAAAGTGAAGAAGCTAGCAAAGATAATTAAGACTCATGCAAGAAATTTTAAAACAAACATAAAACAACCAAAAATATCTCATTGGTCACCTCTGGGGGATGCTATGGAACCAATTCTATGGAACCAACTAATTATTATAAATTTTGGTACATAAAGGGATATAATCAAATATATATCCTGTATTTTTTATATTAACTATAGTATCTGAGGGTAACCAAAGAGCTGACATGGAAAGTTTCTATTTACAGAACTACTCCAGCTTATAAATTTAAAAAGAACTAATATTAGAATACCAACATTTTGTAAGCCTTTATAAATTAATGAATTTAGGCAATGATCAATGCCCACAACATCACAAAAAAACAGACATTACGTGCTTCCTTAGGAAAGCTCTCAACAATATATATGAAGTAGTCTTAAATTTTACAAAAATATATCTAATCACCAATTTTCAGGAAACATATTAACACTACAGTAATCCAATCAGCAAAATCCAGACCAACAAACTGCAGGTCAACTGACCCAAGTTTCTTTAACAACGAAGTTTAAGAGAGAGTGAGTCTATAAAAAAGAAACATTAAACATAAATCAATTATATGGACCTTACTTAGATCCCAATTCTAAAATATGTAGATCCCAATTAAAAACATATGTAATATAACATTTTGGGAATAAAAATAGTAACTAGATATTTAATAATATTGATGATTTACTATTTATTGTATAGGTAAAGACAATGATATTGTAGCTAAGTTTTTAAAAAGAAAGTCCCTATCATGTACACATATATACTGAAATAGTTACAGATGAAAATAACATCCGTGATTTGCTTCAAAATAAAGCAAGTAGGGAATAAACGGTGGTGTTGATGAAAAGAATAGCGATGAACTAGTCATTGTTGAAGCTGTGTAATGGGGACATGGAGGTTCATTATTTCATTTTCTTTTTTATTTCTATTTGAAACCTTCAATAAAAAAATGTTTAGAGGAGCTAAAAGATCCTGAAGTAAGTAAAATTTTCGTAGACAGATATAGGATAAGAAAACCATTTGGCACATTTTATGTTGGTGGGAAAATAGGTACTGGCTCAGCTATGGAGCAATAGAGATCTGCTAGGAGGTAAGTAAATTTGGAGGACAGATTCAACAGAGGTATTACTATAACCTTCTCTTGGAAATTTTACCATTTTAAAAGAATAGGACATATCTAACCACTTTTGTAACACTTTTTTTTCCTGTTTTATAGTTATTTGTGTAATCTTTTTTCTCCTTACCAGAGGAGGAATAAAATATTTTATTAACCTTCACATTATGCTGCAATCATTTACCATTTATTTGCTGAATTAGAGTTAGAACAAAAAAACTGGTAGAACCACTGTGCACTTCTTATTAAATGTTCTCAATGTGTCACTTTTTAAATCTAGTTTTATGGTCTTCTGTTACTTTTATTCTATAGTTCCAAAAATGTTTTCTCATATGGTAAATTCATCTTATAGACCCATAATGCTATATAGTGAGCAGGAAAGAAAGGAGTACAATTTTACCAGTATGGAAGCTACCAACATGGAAGTTAAGGAGAGAATGGAGTGGTAACTGCCCAAAAGCAGTTGGATCTTAACTTCAAGAACTAAATCTAGGGTTTTTTTCTGCTTCATAAATTTGCCAGTGCTCCACATTTAATAATATGAGCTATGAGCAGGTAGAATGAAACCATCACCATTCTAAACTGAGAAGTTCAAAGATTACTCTAGATTTAGGGATTTCAAAGGGATATTCTATTATGCTGGTTATCTTGAATAGGGCCTTGCTATTTTAAAACCAGAATAAAATACTAAAGTAAATTTGTAGTACAAAAACTGTGTCTTTTTAGTTCTTACTATGATCAACTGAACCACAAACTCAACTAAGTTTTAAATTCCTAGCACTGAATTCAACAGGAATCCTGGCTCCTTGTCAAAATTAGCTAGCAAACTCCTGCTTTGGTACCCATTTTATTACTATAAAGTTTAAAATTGTAATTATTAAGTAAAATTCAATACTCAATCTTAAAATATTTAGAGTCACTGCCATTTTGTTTTCTAGAGTCATCACTATAAAGGATAAAATGTAAAAAATTATATTTAGATATCTAGACTTTGAAACTTAACTCCTAATTTTCACAATGTCATAGGTAAAAAAAATCATACTTCAATAAATTTTTTTAAAGATCTGATGGCACATAAACAGACACATAGACCAATGGAATAGAATAGAAACCCCAGAACTAAACCCACAAACGTATGGCCAACT